GGGCTTGGCTGGCACTTTTCCTTTCTGCCTCTTCTTTCTTCCCTCCACCTCCCATGCCCTAGCTCTACATTCCAGCAACCTTGGTCCCCTCCTCATTCCTGTTCAGTGTGGATCTGGCCCTCTATGTTTATGGACCAAGATAGTTTGTCACCATGAAGTTTGGTCGCTGGATTTTGTTTCCCCATTTCTGACTTCCTATAAGCCCAGCCTGTTCAGCTGACCTTTCAGTTCAGACCAAGCCCTTATCTCTGTTGTGTCTTAAGATTTTGGGGTAGTACATTAGATATCAAAATGTCTATGTCCCTATGATGTATCTTTCCTGCCAGAGGTTAGGTGAAGTTAGTTTGCATTTGTCTAATTGAGCACTGAGTGGATGATTCCTGCTTATGTCTGTCTCTTTGTCACTTAGTCACCTAATATCTCAGTTTCTGCAAATTGTCCCAGTTCACCCTACTGTCCTAAAGAAATTAACAACATCCTCTTTTTCTCTCAGAAGTACCCTGATTTGGAAGATGTATCTTCCAGACCTATCTTTCAGGTTAGTATATATTTAAGCTTCAATTCAAATAGTAAAGATGGTGGGTGACCAAGCAAAAAATATTTTTTTTTCACTACAATAACAAGAACTGTGAGAAGGGAAATCAGATTGAAGTCACAATTTTCAGAAATGGTGCTTCAAAAAGTTTTTTTTCTTGGGCAAACTGTTCTTATCATAGCAACTAGTGTTTTGAAAAACCTGGTAAAGGCATGCTACATAATTTACATTTTAAGCGGTTGACCCTTGTTCAATGGAGTAACTATAAGCAAGCTAAAAATGTTCAAGGGAAAAACAAACAGCACATAACACTTTAAAATATGCCTTTGAATGCTTCTCCCCCTTTTTTTTCACACCTCACTTCATATGACAGGATAGAATACATCTTTCACAAAGAGGTGTGAACAAGAAATCTAATAATACTTAGAACTAGAAGGAGAAATGGCAGAGTCTGTTCATCCTAAAATTGTGTAGTCATGTTAAGAAACAACAGAGAGAAATCATTCAAGGAGCTGGGAGGGAAAGCTCCTAGCTTTGCTACCATCAACTATCTCTGCCTGATCTGATGGACAGATGCCTGATGAACGGAGGTTTGTGACATTGTATAGGAGGCAGTGATCAAGACTATCCCCAAGAAAAAGAAATGCAAAAAGGCAAAATTGTTGTTTGTGGAGGCCTTACAAATAGTTGAGAAAAGAAGAGAAGCTAAAGGCAAAGGAGAAAAGGAGAGATATATACATCTGAATGCAGAGTTCCAAAGAACAGCAAGGAGAGATAAGAAAGCCTTCCTAAGTGATCAATGCAAAGAAATGGAGGAAAACAATAGAATGGGAAAGACTAGAGATCTCTTCAAGAAAATCAGAGGTACAAAGAGAACATTTCATGCAAAGATGGGCACAATAAAGGACAGAAACTGTATGGACCTAACAGAAACAGAAGATATTAAGCAGAGGTGACAAGAATACACAGAAGAACTCTACAAAAAAGATCTTAATGACCCAGATAACCACGATGGTGTGCATGCTTACCTAGAACCAGACAACCTGGAGTGTGAAATCAAGTAGGCCTTAGGAAGCATCACTATGAACAAAGCTAGTAGAGGTGATAGAATTCCAGTTGAGCTATTTCAAATCCCAAAAGATGATGCTGTGAAAGTGCCACACTCAATATGCCAGTAAATTTGGAAAACTCAGCAGAGGCCACAGGACTGGAAAAGGTCAGTTTTCATTCCAATACAAAGAAAGGCAATGCCAAAGAATGCTCAAACTACTGTATAATTGCACTCATCTCACATGCTAGCAAAGAAATGCTCAAAATTCTCCAAGCTAGGCTTCAACAGTACGTGAACCGTGAACTTCCAGATGTTCAAGCTGGATTTAGAAAAGGCAGAGGAACCAGAGATCAAATTGCCAACTTTTGTTGGATCATAGAAACAGCAAGAGAGTTCCAGAAAAACATCTACTTCTGCTTTATTGATTACACCAAAGCCTTTGACTGTGTGGATCACAACAAACTGTGGAAAATTCTTCCAGAGATGGGACTACCAGACCACCTTATCTTCCTTCTGAGAAATCTGTATGTAGGTCAAGAAGGAACAGTTAGAACTGGACATGGAACAACAGACTGGTTCCAAATAGGGAACGGAGTACGTCGAGGCTGTATATTGTCACCCTGCTTATTTAACTTCTATGCAGAGCACATCATGTGAAATGCCAGGTTGGATGAAGTACAAGCTGGAATCAAGATTGCCGGGAGAAGTATCAATAACCTCAGATATGCAGATGATACCACCCCTATGGCAGAAAGCAAAGAGTAACTAAAGAGCCTCTTTAGTGAAAGTGAAAGAGGAGAGTGAAAAAATTGGCTTAAAACTCAACATTCAGAAAACTAAGATCATGGCATCTGGTTCCATCACTTCATGGCCAATAGATGGGGAAACAATGGAAACAGTGACAGAGTTTATTTTCTTGGGCTCCAAAAATCACTGCAGATGGTGACTGCAGCCATGAAATTAAAAGACGCTTGCTCCTTGGCAGAAAAGTTATGACCAACCTAGACAGTATATTCAAAAGCAAAGACATTACTTTACCGACAAAGGTCTGTCTAGTCAAAGCTATGGTTTTTCCAGTAGTCATGTATGGATGTGAGAGTTGAACTATAAAGAAACCTGAGCACCAAATAATTGATGCTTCTGAACTGTGGTGTTGGAGAAGACTCTTGAGAGTCCCTTGGACTGCAAGGAGATCAAAGCAGTCAATCCTAAAGGAAATCAGTCCTGAATATTCATTGGAAGGACTGATGCTAAAGCTGAAACTCCAAAACTTTGGCCACCTGATGCAAGAACTAACTCATTGGAAAAGACCCCTGATGCAGGGAAAGACTGAAGGCAGGAGGAGAAGGGCATGACAGAGGATGATGGTTGGAAGGCATCACTGACTTGACAGACATAAGTTTCAGCAAGCTCTGGGAGTTGGTGATGGACAGGAAAGCCTGGCATGCTGCAATCTGTGTGGTTGCAAACAGTCACACACAATTGATCGACTGACCTGAACTGATCTCTGCCTTACAGAAGAGACATGAGCTGGTTAAATACCATACATTATCAAGCCATGTTAGTGACACATGACCATACTGGATAGGAAGAGACAATGCATATATGTGGTGTGAAAAGAGAATAACACCTTCATATATAACAGTGTCAGCTGTGATGGAAACTCAGGGCTCCCAAAACACATCATTTACCAGGTTTACAAATTCTCACTTATTCTGAAGAGGAATATATATTCCTGTCACTACTCATCGTATATATCATGCATTAAATCAACTCCTTCCCTTTTCCATTCTAAGGAAGGGCACAAAGGCATATAAGATGCAATGCAAAATCCTGCCACTTGGCACACAGCTGAAAGGGAAAGGACAGAAAATCCTAGAGGAGCTAGAATGGACTAGGAAACAACAACCACCTTAATATCTTCTATATCAGCTAACAGTAGAGAAATCAGGCTTTAAAGGAAGTTGCAAAGAAAAAGCTGGATCTTATTCATTCATTATAGCAACATCAGGCCTCAAGGTTAGTTAAATAAAAGCACTCTCTCAGACATAACACGCTGTAATTCATACCTGGTTACTCTGAACAATGGCATGATTTATATTTAGCTTCAGGTTGTCAGTCTTTGACATTCTACCCACCCACATATTTGCATATTCAGAAGGTGTACAAACACAAAAATATTAAAATGAAATCCACTATGCATTATAGTAGAATGACATGTAATTTATTCATAACTGAGTTAGGCCGTACTCAAAATTCACTTAAATAAGCAAATGATTACACAAATGTCTAATAATACTAAAATTGATAGTCAGAAGGTATAAAATACCATGGGGATGAAATGCCATGGTAAAATACTATTCAACAGACTATAATCATAATTCTTAACTAAATCATGGTTTTTAAAATGACCTTAAGCAGTTTCGAAATGATTTGATTTTGTTCCCCTGCCAAGCAATTTACTTCTTCCACTGATAAAAGACAGGGCCATTAGTCTCATAAGTCAGGTTCTTCTCTTGCAACACATTTTCTTGCAAAAAATTTTTTTAATATTACTTTTTGACATAAACAACAAACCAGCCAGCACTCAGTGCCCCAAGCAAAGGTGCTTGGATCAGAACAGGGCCTGGGTTTAACGTGAGTTCAGCAAGAGGCAGGCAGTGAAAAAGCTTTTGCAGCATTTGCAGTATGCATACCTCTTTTCTGAGGCTGAAGCATCATAAACATATTTAGGCATCCAAGCCAGTAAAATTATGAGAATAAAATAATATGATGTCCAGATGACTATGCCACAATTACAACTGGGGGTAAATTACAATATAATTCTGCAGTACTTCAGACAAAAACAACACCTACCTAAATTTTGCTTCTTGTAAGCCTTGTTACATTTTCATGAAGTGCAGTGGTGTTTGTAATAATGATTTATCCTATCATGTGTCTGTATCATTTTAAAGTCTTATATTTTATTGGAATGAGGTCCAAGCATGAACCTGGTCTGAAGAGCTAGCAGCTGTAGTCACAAAACATATCAATAAATTAAAAGGCTTTCACAGAACAAGATTCAGCTAAATCTTTTACATATAAAATACAGCTAGAGAAATACAATTCTTCAATGCTCAATTATGAGAGGAAGACAATTTAAAAAAATAGAAAACTCTCTCCATACTGGGTGTCAAGGCAAGATGTATGTAACACTGCATGATGCCACAATATGAGCAGTCACTGGATGGCAGATACTCCAGAAACTGTGGTATCTGGGGATCTGGTAATTATGACCAAGATATGCAAACACTGTAACAAAAGGCATGCATGCAATCACTGAGTGCATTCAGGGCATGAGCTGGGACCTAAGCAGAGATCTAACACAATAATGAGGCAGTGTTCCGGGGTATCCATTAAAACAAGTGTGGGTGACTACATGTTGATTAAACCTTCTGAGGCAGCAAAGTGCGGGCACAATGCCATGTCTGGATTCTGCAGCTGTTTTATGATCCTCTTGCGGAATTTCTCCCGCACACGATTAAATTCCATTATGTCCATAGGGTCCTCTTCAATCCAAAACTTATGAAACTCGTGCATCAAATAACCTGTTAGAGATAAGACAAGTGACAAGAATGCAAGAGGAAGAAAAAAATCCTTAATCTTATTCAAAATCACCCTGAATGCTGAAAGAAATGTCAAACCAAGTATCAGCAACTCTGAAGCACAAAGATGAGATCAAAATGCAATAAATACTACTGTTAAAAATTATTCTTTAAAACTAGTGCAAGTAGAAGCTACCAATCTACAAGATTTTTGTACTTGGTCCCAGAATTATTCTCACTCTTCTAGAAGAGGAAGAAAAATCAATTCTGCCATTTCTAGAGTATGAAAAACATCTGGAACATATTCTGAAAGGTAGACAGTAACGACTTCATTCTTCCCCTCCTAGTTAAATTAACATAATGGTCTGATTTTTCAAAAGTGCTCCACTCAGCCTTTTTTCTCTTGAAATTTGATTTGAATAAAGTTTTAAATTACCCTGACAAGTCAAGCAATTGCATTCTGACTATTATGAGACAATCAAAACTATAAATCAACTCTGAACAATACAGACTGGTCATTAAACTACATGAAATTGTTAATAAGACATTTTTGCTTTGAACCATAATTTCATATTCAAATTTTTTGTCTCAAAAATGTTGTCTACATTGGGGACATTTTGGAATAACTGCTAAGTATTTGATATGAGAACCTACTTATTGTATTCTGCTTCCCCACTATGCCCTTCTTCTATCATATTTAGAACTGAAATGTGAATCAGTTCAGTTCAGTTCAGTCACTCAGTAGTGTCCAACTCTTTGTGACCCCATGGACTGCAGCACACCAGGCTTCCCTGTCCATCACCAACTCTCGGAGCTTCCTCAAACTCATGTCCATTGAGTCAGTGATGCCATCCAACCATCTCATCCTCTATCGTCCCCTTCTCCTCCTGCCTTCAATCTTTCTCAGCATCAGGGTCTTTTCAAATGAGTCAGTTCTTCACATCAGCTTCAGCATCAGTCTTTCCAAAAAATATTCAGGACAGATTTCCTTTAGGACTGATAGGTTTGATCTCCTTGCAGTCCAAGGGACTCTCAAGAGTCTTCTCTAACACCACAGTTCATAAGCATCAATTCTTCGGCGCTCAGCTTTCTTAGGGAGTCCAACTCTCACATCCATACATGACTACGGGAAAAACCATAGTTCTGACTAGACGGACCTTTGTTGGCAAAGTAATGTCTCTGCTTTTTAATACGCTGTCTAGGTTGGTCATACCTTTTCTTCCAAGGAGCAAGTGTCTTTTAATTTCATGGTTGCAGTCACCATCTGCAGTGATTTTTGGAGCCCAGAAAAATGAAGTCTGTCACTGCTTCCATTGTTTCCCCATCTATTTGCCATGAAGTGATGGGGCCAGATGCCATGATCTTAGCTTTCTGAATGGTGAGTTTTAAGCTAATTTTTTCACTCTCCTCTTTCACTTTCATCAAGAGGCTCTTTAGTTCTTCACTTTCTGCCATGAGGTTATTTCTGAGGTTATTTCTCCTGGCAATCTTGATTCCAGCTTGTGCTTCATCCAGCCTGGCATTTCGCATGATATACTCTGCATATATGTTAAATAAGCAGGGTGACAATATACAGCCTTGACATACTCTTTTTCCTATTTGGAACCAGTCTGTTGTCCCATGTCCAGTTCTAACTGTTGCTTCTTGACCTGCATACAGATTTCTCAGGAGGCAGGTCAGGTGGTCTGGTAGTCCCATCTCTTGAAGAATTTTCCACAGTTTGTTGTGATCCACACAGTCAAAGGCTTTGGCATAGTCAATAAAGCAGATGTTTTTCTGGAACTCTCTTGCTTTTTCGATGATCCAGTGGATGTTGGCAATTTGATCTCTGGTTCCTCTGCCTTTTCTAAATCCAGCTTGAACATCTGAAGTTCACTGTTCAAATACTGTTGAAGCCTAGCTTGGAGAATTTTGAGCATTACTTTGCTTGTGTGTGAGATGAATGCAATTGTGCAGTAGTTTGAACATTCTTTGGCATTGCCTTTCTTTGGGACTGGAATGAAAACTGACCTTTTCCAGTCCTGTGGCCACTGCTGAGTTTTCCAAATTTACTGGCATATTGAGTGCGGCACTTTCACAGCATCATCTTTCAGGATTTGAGATAGCTCAACAGGAATACCATCACCTCCACTAGTTTTGCATTACTTACCACTCTTGACAATAAACAGGCACTGTGAAAAATTCTTTAATGAGGAATTCACTTTTCCACAATGAGAATTTCACTCACTCTAGGACAGCACAGGGTTTTAGAAAAATACAAATCCATTTGGTTTCACCATTTTTCTGCTTTACATGCAACTATAGGAAAACATTTTGAAAGGTTTAAATGACTAGAATAAGAGTTGAAGGTGGAGGGGTTGTTAATAATCTAACACCATTCTTCTTTCTCTCAAGGTTACAAAAGTCAAGCTGTAAATCTTGCAAACTGATTCCATGGGACTTCCTTCCTCTATCACATCAGAAAAATAATTAGACACTGTAACATTATTCTAATCAAATTGTGAAATTGGTGGCTTGGCTTCCAGGGTACATATTATAATCATAAACCTTCACTAATTTATATAACATTACAGAGTGTTCACAAATCAATTTGGCTTATTGATCAGTTGGCTCATCTGCTAATTAACAAACATGTAACAGATACAAGGAAATGGTAAAGTTCCATGCTCCCCAACTCTCAGTTTTTTGGAGAGGGACCAAGGCAGAAAATGTCAGATAATGATTTGTTAGCTGAGGAAGCTAACATAATGACATGGAGAGCAGAGGAAGGAAAGAGAAGCCAGACTATTGCTTACAGTCTCTTATTTAATTCTCACAACAGTTTTATAGAATAGGAAATGCAGATAAGTCTACATTTTACGATGAGGACAGTGGGTTTAAACAGATGGTATACAATCATACAATTATAGCTGGAAGCTAGGACATGAAATAAACTGCCTTTTCCAGTGGACTCTCTTCTTCTGGTTATTATTCCTGTGTATAGTTCCTTCTTTGAAGGTCAAAGAAAAGCTAATTATTTTTTCTCTTCTGGCCATTGTACTTCCTTCTCCTCATTGTACCTAATCTTATTTCATTCCAATGCAGCTGCATGTTCAGTGGAGCTTTAGATTGAATGTAATTTTCATAGCATATTGACTTGGCAGTGCAGTCAGTGCTCACTGAATACTGTAAAGTCAAAATGATAGAGCTCTCATATTCTTTCACCTAGATGAAATGCCTGTTTGAAATACAAACTTGCCTTTCCAACCCAGGACTGCAGCAAATTTGTTGTTGCCTGACTGTGTCCTGGTTTTGCTTCACTGCATTTGATTAGTACACAACAGAAACATACATAAGGACACAGGTAACTGCAAGAATATTAAAGAGGAGATGTGTAAAACTGATTATGTTTGATAGAGGAATAAAAAATCCAGGGCACAGTTTGCTTCTTCTAAAGAGGCCTAGTTCCTCTATTATAGAAGTAAACATAATCACCTAGTTGTCAAAGTAAGACCTGTAATCACAAATGTAAGGGGCTTCCACTTTTCATTAATAAGTCATTAAAATGTAAGTATTTTAAAATTTGCTTTTTTATTCAAGTCATACATGTTTTTGCTGTTTATTGCTAAGTTGTGTCTGACTCTTTGTGACCCCATGGACTATAGCATACCAGGCTTCCCTGTCCTTCACTATCTCCCAGAGTCTGCACAAACTCATGTCTATTGAATTATGATACTATCCAACCATCTCATCCTGTTACCCTTCTCCTCCTACCCTCAATCTTTCCCAGCATCAGGGTCTTTTCCAGTGAATTGGCTCTTAACATAAGGTGGCCAAAGTACTGAAGCTTCAGCTTTAGCGTCAGTCCTTCCAATGAATATTCAGAATTGATTTCCTTTAGGATTGACTGGTTTGATCTCCTTGTGTCCAATGGACCCTCAAGAGTCTTTTTCTCCAGCACCACAATTCAAAAGTATTAATTTTTTTGGCGTTCAGTCTACTTTATGGTACAATTCTCACATCCATATATGACTTTTGGAAAAATCATAGCTTTGACTCTATGGATCTTTGTTGTCAAAGTGATGTCTTTGCTTTTTAATACACTGTCTAGGTTTGTCATTGCTTTTCTTCCAAGGAGCAAGCATCTTTTAATATTGTGGCTACAATCACCATCTGCAGTGATTTTACAGCTCAAGAAGATAAAATGTGCCGTTTTCATTTTTTCCCCATCTATTTACATGAAATGATGGGACCAGATGCCATGATCTTAATTTTTTGAAGGTTGAGTCTCAAGTCAGTTTTTTCACTCTCATCAAGAGGCTCTTTTTAGTTCCTCTTCACTTTCTTCCATTAGAGTGGTATCATCTGCATATCTGAGGTTGTTGATAATTCTCCTGGCAATCTTGATCTCAGCTTGTGAGTCTTCCAGCCTGGCATTGTGCATGATGTACTCTGCACAGAAGTTAAATAAGCAGTGTGACAATATCAATGTGCAGCCTTGGCCTACTCATTTCCAAATTTGGAACCAGTCCATTGTTCCATGTCCAGTTTTAACTGTTGCTTCTTGACCTACATACAGGTTTTTCAGCAGGCAGGTAAGATGGCCTGGTATTCCAATCTCTGATGAATTTTCCAGTTTCTTGTGATCCACAGTCAAAGGCTTTAGCATAGTCAGTGAACTTATTGATGTAAAGCTGATTTACAATGTTGTATTAGTTTCAGGTGTCCAGCCAAATAATTCAGTTATACATATATATATATATTCTTTTTCATATTCTTTCCCTTTTTGATTATTACAACATATTCAGTATACTTCTGTGCTATACAGTAGATTCTTCTTCATTATCTATTTTATGTATAGTGTGTACATGTAAATCCCATCCTCCTAATTTAACTTCCCCACCTTTCCCCTTTGGTAGTCATAGTCTGTTTTTTATTTCTGTGGGTCAGTCTATCTTTTTTTTTTTGTAAATAAGTTCATTTGTATTTTTTCAGATTTCACATAAAAGCAATATCATATGATA